ACTGTAAGTATAAGGTATGCTTTCTAATCCTTTAATTGGGCCTAAAGATTTGGCCCTAAGATTTTAAACAGGAGGTAGGAGCAGTCAAAATGGGACAGTGCTTTCTATGCTTTCTTGGTTCTTCCTTTATTGTACTGTGGTAGTAATGTTGCTATACGTATGCAAGTATTTGCAACATGCAATACAGCACACTAGCTTTCATTAAGACCATATATGTGTGTGTGTGTGTGTGTGTGTGTGTGTCTCTGTCTATCTATCTATCTATCTATCTATCACACCTTTTGAACTCTGGGCAAAATTGGATTTCTGTAATTGGCTGTCAAGGATGTCACATGCATGCTGTCCAATAAATGTATTCATCTGACTCTTTCCTTGAAATTTTATATACAAACATCACTTCATAAGGGCAAAGATATGACAGTCATTATGTGGGAATTATTGCCATTCTAACGTTAAATTGAGTTGGCCTTTACCCTTCTGCCTTGTAACAAGATATGCCATTATTTCAAGAAAAATATACTGGGCTGTGTTGACATGTTGCTCAATTAGAAACTGATTAGTCAAAAAAAAATTAAAAAAAAAATCCAATACAACAATATGTCAGCATAGTAAAGTAAAATAATAATGATACTTTGGATTTATCTAGTCTTTAATACAAAAAGCACTATGCAAAAATAAGTGTCATTATCTCCATTTTACAGATGGGACAACTGAGGCTCAGGCTGACTAGCCCATGGTCACACAGTGTTGGGAATAGAATACGGGTAGCCTGACTCCCAGTCCCCTCTTCTAGCCATGTATCAAAACAGCTTGGAATCCGGAGAAGCAATAGAAAATATTTTGATTTTTTTTTTTGCGAGCTTTTAAATAAGCCATTTCCTAGAAGCAAACAGGACACTCTGGGTTGTGAGGATTAGGGGGTTGATTCTCCTCTCACAAACTAGTTTTGCATCAGTGTAATTCTAGTGACAACAATGGAGTTAGCCATTTATTGGCATAAATCCAAAGTAACTGATTTGAAGTTGTTCTCTACTCAAGTCAAGGGCTTAATTCTGCATTTACACTAGAGATGAGAATCTGGGTGTCCTAATAACAAAATATCCTCTTGTATGTTATTAACCCAACTGAATTTAAAACAATACCAATGTGATATGCTATGAAACACCAAAGGCAGTCCTATATGCAGCATACTCTAGTCTAAAGGCATCCTTCGTACACTGAGAGCTTGTCTGTGAGAATGTTAATACACTGGTGTAGCTTCTTTAACTTTAGTGGGGTTAGTCCTTGTTGACTCCACTGTCAGAGAATAATCAGTTTTAAATGTGCAGCCAGCTGTTTTTTAAAAGCAATTTGAGGTTTCAATCTCAAATAGAACTCCAATTACCGTTGTAATGCAGAGATCTTCTGCTTGCTGGGCTGAGATGAGAAAGAGCCAATGCTATTTAAACCCCAAAGATCTCTCACTAGCTAAATCAAGAAAGCAAAGACAAGACAGATAATATTCTGAACTCAAACTAGCATAGCCATCTCAGACACAAATTACATGGTGTTCTGGCAGAGACACCTTTCTGTGAACTGTAGCAGTTATTTTTCTTGCTTCAGCTTTCAAAAGAGGAAAAGTAGCTCAGTAATGCTGGGACTTTTCCTGCAGCTAAAGTGGTGTTGGTCCACTTAGTAAAAGCCTCAAGTCATCACAAGGTCAAAGCACCAGAACTGCTGATATCTCCAAATCTCTTACCAGCAGTAACAATGCAGCAGCTTTTCTGCAAATAAACAAACCAAGAATCTAGTTAATTCAGCAATATACTTTTAATATAATTATTTGGTTCAATTCCCTAGGAAAAATCACAGGGTGGTTTCTTTGTGTGTGAGAGAGAAAGCAATGCAGAATCTGACTGCTTACAAAGAGTCCCTCTCCCCCCCCTCCACCCCCAGCCCCGCATCTCAGATTGTGAAAGATCATTTAATGCTATTTACAACATAAAAAGGACTAGGTCTCTTTGTTTAATGAAAAAAATTCAGGAGGTCTCTCATGAAATGCAACAATGCTGTCATTTTGTCACTACTGTCATATGGGATGGGAGTATGTGATTATCTCCATTTGCTTGTACAATCACATCAAACATTTACCACACAATGTTTAAATCAATTGTCACATTAATATATTATCATGGATTAAATGAGGCAACCCCAATGGTTGTGTTCTAAAAACAAAACACAGTAATGACTGAGTCCACTTCTGGAGTAAATTGAAAACTCATTTTTTTAAAACTATCTCCCCCTGTAAGGCCTGGTCTACACTACGACTTTAATTCGGATTTAGCTGCGTTAATCCGAATTAATCCTTAACCCGTCCACACAACGGAGCCAGTTACTTCGAATTAAAGGGCGCTTAAAATCGATTTCTGTACTCCACCACGACGAGCGGAGTAGCACCAAAATCGATTTTGTAAATTCGAATTAGGGGTAGTGTGGCCGCACACCACCGAATTAATGTGGTTAAAATTAATGGGGTAGTGTGGCCGCACACCACCGAATTAATGTGGTTAAAAACCGAATTAATGTGCTTAGTGTGGCCGCGCACAATCGAATTTATACAATCTGTTTCCCAAATTCGAATTATCTAAATTCGAATTAATCTCGTAGTGTAGACGTACCCTAAAACAGACTATAAGTTAGCTACTATTTACAAAGCTTTAAAAAGTGTATTTGAACATTTTCTTTTCTTTTTCACTGGACTGGCCATCAATAATCAAGGTTATCTCAAACTTGATTTTTTCTTCAGACAGATAATTGCTTTCTTGTAATAAAAAATAAAAATATTTTTCAATGTGTGGCTGTTGCCCAGATGGGACAGAACCTCAGCTGATGTAAACTGGCATTGCTCCAGTGACATGAGGATCAGTACAAAGAGGGTCCAACGTGTCCCTCCCCAATATTTGGTGTGACTGCCTTAGCATACTAAGAAACCATGTGGCTTTGGCAGCTCAGGAAAGGAGATATCAAAAGCAAGTGACAGTGAATCATAATGGACTAAGAATTTTTCAGCCCCTCTGAACAGTGATTTTTTTTTTTTTACAAAACACATTGAAAATAAAAGCAAACATCAATTACAGACTGTCTCTTAACAGATGGATGATAATAACCTTAACAATTAGCGCACACAATGAAAAGTGGTACCATTTTTATGTTGGTATCTCAGTCATTATTCATGGTGAAATGCTAAAAGGAAGTGGTTATTATGATGCATGGCTTATCAGCTTTCTTCGTACCATGACCCACAACCAGTCATCCTCAGATATGTCCCCAAATCATTTGCACTGGTTCCCACAGTGCTTCAAAGGAAGCACCAGTCCTGTGGTAGTTCATAAGAGATGCTGTGGGAATTGGTGCAGTGGTGTATGAGGGGGTGGGAGGTGTTCTGCCATTTGAGAAAGTGGTTGAGTAAATTTCAAAGTGGCTGAGTGAATATGCTTCAGCCAAAGACCAGAGACAGAAAATTAGAGCAGACTTGTGGCGCCCTGGCCCCCTTAGGGGAGGCGACCTCGCCAGTCTAAGAACCAGTAATGAAGTGTTTGTCAATGGAAGTGCAAAGACAGTGATCCAGGAAAAAGGAAAGAGACACAAATGCCTTGTCTCAACTGCGTTGTTTGATACAGATTCCTCAACAGCACAGGACAACTTCATTTAAGGCTGGATCCTCAGCTCAAGTAAATCAACTTGGTCCTATTGAAGTCAATGGTGCGACACCGATTACACCAGCTGAGGAGATGGCCCATAGCCTTTTGTTAAGAAATTACTATACAAGCATATTTCTATCCCTTTTTAAACCAGACTTACAACCATGATATAAGAAACCAAAAGCTTCCAGCACCGAACATTCATTGGGTGAAAACCTGGCTCTAGGACAGTCAATGGGAGTTTTATCATTGACTTCAAGGGAGCCAGGATTTCACTCACTGAATTTGCTGTATGTGCAATTTCATATATAAACTATGATTTTTTCCTCACTGTTCCTCCCTTTCACACTGTTGCAATGGTCATAATCAATGGAGCAAGCCTATAGTTTTGGTGCTTTGGTGACACACTGCTTGTCGAACAGTTGTGCAGATGGTGCTGGTGAGTAAATCTTCCAGCAATATTAACTGTGGCTGTTTCTGGTATTCCACTGATACCTTCCATAGATGTTGGACCATTTATTTCTGAAGAGAAACAAGGGGACTTGAGACAAACCTTCCATTTGGCAGCTTTCTTGGAAAGGTCATTGAGCCATGGGTGCTTGAGACTCTGAGTGGCACTTAGCCTTCCTCTAGAAAAAAGGAGACATTATTGGAAGAGTTAGTTGAGCTCCATCACTTCTTACCTGTGCTGAATATAATAGCAAAACACTGCAACACCTGCCTATTTAATACAGCTACTTTTTAAACAAGTATGAGTATGCACAGAGAAACTATAGGAGGGAGGTCAGAGTGGAGGAAATCTCTATGAAGTTCTCCACTGAGGAAAGGGGTTTCCCCAACACAGAAGGGGCAATAGGATCCAGCCATTCATGAAGAGGTCCAGGTTTCATGCAGCTCTACACTATGACAGCCTCCTCCCCATATCCATGGCCTCACTGCAGCCATATCAATAGGGGCACGACTGACCCTGATGTCCCTCTAGAGGTGTACCTAAAAGTGTAACGTTCTTAATTTTGACTCTCCCTCTATCCCTTCATATTTACTTTAAAATTTTGTTTTCCATCGGAATGTGTTTGGCACCTCCCAGTGCATCTGTGGATATTTCTAAGTATTGGAATAAGCTCATGAATCCCTGAGACTGCACACTTGTCTCTAGCGCAGCTCAGAAAATGTCCATGCAAATGAAAAAATGACAAAGAAAATGTTTGTGAATTTCTTTCTTCTTCTGACCAGCTCTAGTTGTCACAATGGAAACTTCAGCGGCAGGAAAAGAACTCAGATCCTCCTGCTTTAAAAGCACAGGGCTCTACCAGTTGAGCTCAAGGAAGAGACCCTGACCTACTAATGACAGTTCTGATTTTGAACAGGTCTGATTCTGTTCAATAGAAGGCACCACTGACACCTATTCGCTAGACTCAGTACATTACATTTACTTTCATTTTTCCGCTTTGTTTTCTTCACCCTTTTAATGACTTTTGTTGCTTACATGCAGATAACAAGCCTAAAGAAAAGCAGAACAAAGATGTATTGTGCTCCAACTGCTGCATAAATGTAGGAATCCATTTTAAAGGCTCAAACTTTTGAATCCTAAATGTACGGCAGCCTCAGGTATCCTCTTCTGAGGCTTTTCTGTTTTGGGCAGGGGCGGCTGTAGCCTTTTTGCCAACCCAAGCACGGCAGGCAGGCTGCCTTCGGTGGCATGCCTGCGGGAGGTCTGCCGGTCCCGCGGCTTTGGCGTACCCACGGCCAAATTGCCGCCGAATCCGCGGGACCAGCGGACCTCCCGCAGGCATGCCGCCGAATCTGTGTTACCAGCGGACCTCCCGCAGGCATGCCACCGAAGGCAGCCTGCCTGCCGCCCTCAAAGGGACCAGCAGGGCACCCCCTGTGGCTTGCCGCCCCAGGCACGCACTTGGAGCGCTGGTTCCTGGAGCCGCCGCTGGTTTTGGGTTATGAAACCACATGGCTCAGCCTCACCCAGTGATGAGACAGTCAACAGCTTTTAACCAACAAAACCTACTGACTAGTTAAGTGAGTAATAATCAAAAACTACTTTAAATCACATGACCCTGTTTCAGCCAAATGAAATGTTTAGAGCAAAGTAAGGGATGCTCCTATTGAGATTAGCACAGAGCTGGCCAGCCCCAAACACACTGAAGTTGGAGAGGGTATGATGGTCCCCAGAAGGCTGTTTAAGGTAAATGATGTGTCCTGGCAGGAATTCCAGGTTCTGTTAGGAGGTGGGAAGGTGTCAGGAGGGAAAGGGCGGGATTGATCTTTAAAAAGATTTCATGCAGGACCTCAAGCGAACCAGAAGGGATTTTAAAAGCCACACCTGCCGATCTTTGTTTGGAAACTGAAAGAAAGTTTGCAAACTTTGCACAACCAATGTTTAATGCTTTGTTGTAAATTGTCCGTTATTTTGCTAACAAATCGATCCATTCAACAATGTACAATAACCAACATCATGAGTACTTCTTCACACAGACATGCAAGAGCCAGGGAACACACAGAGAAACATGCCAGCCTTAAAAAAATAAACAAAAGCAAACAAATGTATACATATCACAATGACACATAATTCAGCAGCAAGACAGACTCAAGTACAGAAGAAGAGAATCTCAGAACAAATATTGAGGTAACAAGAACAAAAAAGCACTGGCAGATCTGCAAAGAACAAGAATATTTAAACTTGGAGACCTGCTTGTGTAGTCCGCAATGGAGTTTATGGTCTGATAACCAAGGATGTTTTAAGGCTGAAGTTGCACTCATTCTCCAGCTAAAGGGAAAACAGAACACTAGTAAGTGATACATATGGGATCTTAGGATTCAACAGTTATGCCCTAGCTAGTGATGTGTGCTGTCCATCCTTTTGGTATTGCATGATGTTCAGGTTTGCAAGATGCTTTGTGCCAGATGGCAGCTGAACAATGGCAACTGGAAGTGTTAACTCCTGTGAAAATGCATTCATGTAATCTCAGGACACTGTGTAGAATTTAACAATATTCTACGTAGGCATAACACAATGGCTACTGTAATCATCAAGTGTAGCAGTACAAGTGACAGAGCCTTTTTGGTGTTCTGTAATGTGATGACACCAAATGTACATTTCAAAGATATGGAATGGTGGGAATCTGAATACCTTTTTTCCTTGATTAGAAGTTTTGAGAGGAAGTCTTTGGCTTCTTCAGAAACATCCTGAAATTCCTCATTTTCGAAATCCCAGCTACAAGCCAGGATATTGTTGAGAGTCTCATTGTCATCGTCACCCAGAAAAGGAGACAATCCACTGAGCCTAAAGAATATTATATAGCATATGAAAAACACAGAATCATAGTAATATATGGTTGGAAGGGAGCTCAAGAGGTCATTTAGTCCATCCTCCCCCCACCCCCCCCACCCCACACACACTGTGGTGGGATTAAGTAAACCAAGACCAGCCTTAACAGATGTTTATGTAACCTGTTCTTAAAAACCACCAATGATGGGGATTCCATAATCTCTTTGTCTAACCTTTTCCAGTGCTTAACTATCACTATAGCATAACCCACATCTTCACTACCAGTATCTACTTATGTTAATTCTTCTGTGGTTCCTCCTTCCTACTCTTGATTTGTCATATTCTTTCTGGAATTGTTTCATTGTTCATGGTTGTGCTCCTAACCCCTCGCAGCAAGTTGTTGTCCATTAAGACCTGGTCTTGAGAGTTACTGAGTGCTGAGCACACTCAGAAGTCAATGGAAACGTAGGGCACTCAACACTTTGCAGGATTAGGCCTTAACTTGTTATAACTTTGTTGGGGTTGAATAAATCAAGTAAAAATTATCATGCACGTCTGAAGGGCAAAATGTTACTCTATGATCTGCACAGCAGTTCTCGTCTCTAAATTGTGGATCCCTATGCATATTCTGCACTCATTTAGCATGCGGAATTCCTACTGATGTCAATGGAAAGTGCATGCACAGAAAGAGTAAAAAATGTTCACTTGAGATGTGCAATGTGACAGGAGAGAATTGAAATCAACGGGAATTTTCCCTGAATAAAGACTTCAGAAGGGCAAATGAATTTGCAACCCAGATACAGCTTTTGTCAATATTCCAGTTTAATAGCAAGCTTCAGAAAGTCAATATAAATTACAGTGTGCAGAGTACAGATACAAGTCCTACTTACAGCATGTAGGCAATGACTCCTACACTCCACATGTCCGTGGGAAAGGAGACAAAGTCATAGTTCACAACTTCAGGAGCGAGGAATTCCGGAGTGCCAAAGTTCACTTTAAGTTTTTCTCTGGGTTTATATCTGGATGACGGAAACAGGGACAGTCAATACCCATTTCACGTCTAATACAACTTCTAACATTGATGCTTAGAATGTTGTAGGATTCAGAAAAGGACCGGAGTTTTTATATGGAAAACAAGAACAATCAGAGGTACAACAGTAAGGATGAAAATAAGTTTTTGTAAGAGAGATAAATCTTCATACTTCACAGCTAGCGCAGATAAAAACAGCAGTGTAGCCAGAGAGGCCTGGGTTAGGCGAGTAGAGTACAGACATGCCAAGTTGTGCCTCCCCGTCTCCCTCCTATTTTTTAGCAGAGTAATGTCCTACTGCCAGAGCCTTTCCTCACTGCAGTGCATGGCTCCAGCAGTGGGGAGCTGCTGAAGCCTTTCACCAGTTCCTACCCTTTGCGAGAGCCTTTCACTGACACATGTAGCTACACACCGCGGTGTGGATACAGTGCGCTTTTTACTGAGGTGTGTAGTTACACCTACACTACACACACCACCAGAGGTATCTAATGTAGATGTAGACATAAGGGCCAGTATGATAATATAATGTGATCTTCTGCACATGACAAGCCAGAGAATTTCTACCAGTAATTCCTGCATCAAGCCCATGGTGAGGATGAGTTTGTCTAGAGCTTGAGCATGTCTCTTAGAAAGACATCTAGTCTTAGTATAAGGACTTCAGTCCAATTATTCCATAATTGTGTACTGCAGGTTTCTTGCGCCTTTCTTTGAAGCAACTTTTTTTTTTTTTTTTTAATGGAGATATACCTATCTCCTAGAGCTGGAAGAGACCTTGAAAGGTCATCAAGTCCAGCCCCCTGCCTTCACTAGCAGGACCAAGTACTGATTTTGCCCCAGATCCCTAAGTGGCCCCCTCAAGGATTGAACTCACAACCCTGGGTTTAGCAGGCCAATGCTCAAACCACTGAGCTATCCCTCCCCCCCCAGCTTGTACTGGAGACAACTTTGGAGACAGTACACTGGACTAGATGGACCATTGGTCTGGTCTATTATGGCCAACCCTCTTTAGATATACCAGCTGAAAATAGGTTTTAAACTAACATTTTTTACTCTACGTTCTTGTGTGAATAAACCTTACTGCTATCCATTCTTTAATTTAAGGATGCTCCTCACTAAAAGAGCCACCTTAAACTTGTTCCAAAGGTGGTAGGAAGCTATTATGCATCAGCTTCATCCTTCCAAAGGCATAACACTTTTGAGATTGTTTCCTAACTCATGTGTTATGATTAGCATGATTACACGTACATACCTTCTTGCCAATCCAAAATCAATAATTTTTATTTGATAAGCAGCTCGATTCACACACAGGATATTCTCGGGCTGCCAGGAGGAAAGAGAAAACACACTTTTAAGAGAAATAACAAAAACTGGATTTGTAGTGAATTGTAGTAGAATCAAAACTAAAAACACTGCAAAGCATAAAATAAGCATCTCATTGCTTTCATCTTTGGGCAGGTTTCACTTTGTGGGTATTTCCTCCTGCAATCATGTGGCATTTGAGGTTTTGGACTCTGTGCCAGTACTGCTTTTTCTTCTCCATGGCGTCTCAGTTTGATATAATGCAGCAGTTCAGAGAAAGGACTCATTAGTGGGAGGGGGAAGGAGCTTCCAAACAGGCTTCAGGATGTTGGCGTTGTGATTTTACAGCCCTTAATGAGCTGACATCAGAACATTTTAAAAATGATTTTGCGGTGCTTTGAAGTTGATCTTTGTGCCCCAGATTTCTGAGTTCACTGCTGTTCTGGCAGCAATTGCCTGATGATACATTATACTAATCAAATCAGCTTTACGCTCTTCTCAGATATTTAGAGGTGGGATTCATAGGTTAAAATCCTTCTGGATTTTCATAGGGCCAGATTCTGCTCTCTGTTTTACTGGCATAAATCCATTAGCATCAACGGAATTACTCCAGATTTATACCAGATGAAATGAAAGCAGAATCTGGCCCATTGTCTTTGAAGTACAAATGTCTACAATGCAGTCTTATGTTCACTGCCAGCAGTTTTATAGCTACCCTGGTCTTGTTGCTGATGGTGTCCTCTTTGAAATAAAACAGCCCTAAACACTTAAGACATTAGTTATCCATTGTCACCATTACTAATTCACTTTGCATTTCAGATTTTTTTAAACATATTTCTCATAATGGAATTTCTGTGTCCCAGACACTGGTCCTAATGAGTCTCATTAATTCTTCCATTTTAACACCTTCATATCACAAAGTAATCTATGAGCAAGGAGAACTGGATAGAATCACCATTGATGGACATTATGTGCCTGGAAGAGTTTCTGTTGAGAACTCCCTGGATGTAAGCATGCCTCCTTTTCTGCATTTTGAGTTCACACCAAAACTGTGCCAACTCCAAGAAATTAATCTCAATTAAGAGAGCAGATTTCTTGATTATAGGTTTCCAGGCTATGAATATTTACAAAGAAAAAAGGACTTGCTCTGGAATTGCAACTGACTTACACAAGTGTCTGTGAGATCCAAATATGCAATATTGTGCTTTAAAAACATTGAAGATACAGTATATTAATTTCCAGTTATTTAAGCAAATTACAAACCAAGAAAAACAAACTTCCAAACATGTTGTTTCCTTCTCCTTTGTTGTAAACCTGGCAGATCATTAGGAAGTTTTATAGCTAGTCATAAAACTAAGGGCATTTAAGCATCTCTCTCTTATTCCTGCTCTCAACAGAGATAACTGACAAGTTTATTATTCAGCAAAAAACTTGGCCATGGAGAGGGATAAAGATCTGCTGCAAATGTGTGTCCTCACTAGACACACCTATACAAATACTGATGTTTTGTACGTGCCAATTAACCCATTAAAAATTAACTGGTCTCTGCATATATACTGCTAGACCAAAATTTGCAGCATCTGCTTTTTTTTTTTTTTTAAATACACCCACTAGTAGAGCTTGTTTTAAATTGATCAAAGGCAATATTCCACCAATGCTTTTAATTTCGTTTAATTTTTACCTCATTTTTTAAAAAAAATTGTCACTAACCTTGATGCTGTTCATGCTCATGAGTGGCAGTGCAGTCTAGACATTAAAATAGGACACTGGGTTTTCATTGCCTCTGACATATCTTATGACTTTGGGCAAGCCACTTAGTCCCTTTGTGTTTCATTTTCCTCACTGGTAAAATGGGGATAATCATGTTTACCTTTGTCACAGAGACACTGTCAGGTTGAATGAATTAATGTTTGCATGGTGCCTTGAGATGCATGGATGAAAGATGACACAGAAGTGCAAAATATTGTAGTCAGTAGCTGACTTGCTGGAAAATCATCCTCAGAAAGCTCAAGCCACGGGGCTTGATGAGATCTTCTCAAGATTCTGATCTCATTTACAGTGGTAAAAATCCAGAGTGATTTAATGGAAGTCAATGTGGTTAAAGTAAATTTACACTGATTTAACAGAGACCATGATATACCATGGGAATCTACAGAACCTTAGGTGCCTTCACTTAGGGAAATTAATTTCTATGGTAGAGGACAAGTTGCTATTGCATAAAGCATGCCTCTTGTTCTGTACCTTCAGGTCTAAATGAAGAATGTACATCTGATGCATGTATTGAATCCCTTGACAGATCTGTTTTGTGAACAAGATGGTATCCATCTCTGTCAAACTGTAGTTATCATCAATAATTCGGTCAAATAATTCTCCTCCATCCACACTGCAGAGAGAAAAATGGTAGAATAGTCACTGAGTTCAAATTCATGCCTTGAAATTAATGCAGAAGATATACTGGAGACTGGTCCAAAATACCATTTTCCTGAGATGCTTTCACAGCTGAGCACAGTGAGACGGACCCAAAATACGAAGTTTGTATGCTGATCTGAATTTCCCTACAGTTCCCAGCGGGGTTGGCTCCTACAAACTGGTTCAGATCCATCCCGACTTGAACGTCCCCATGTTTGCGGGTGCCTGGATCCAGTCTACCAGCTTGGATCCAACTATCTGAGATGAATCCACATCTAAAAGTTTGGACCTGAGCTCAATTCTCTGCTGTGTTAACATGGTTTTTGCGCCAGTGAAATCAGCGAAGTCATATCAGCATAAAGCTGAGGCAATGCAGTTGAGGATCAGGCTCCTGGATCTAGATCCAAACCACCCCAGACTTCGATGGATTTGGGATTCAAGATTCCAGTGTGAGCCCATCTCAACTCACAATGGAGATTTTAAAAATTTCTTCCAGAATTCTAGAACACCCTCAGTTTAACACTATATTTTTTTTGCAGAATTATAGCTTTTGCCATTTCTGAAGTATGCAGGCCAAATTCAGAAGCAAATCAAAGGCTTAGTGTACACTACAACGTTTTGCCGCCATATATATGATGGTTAGCAGTGTGAAAAAAATCAACCCCTCCCCACCCCCAGCTGACGTCAGCAAACCCCCCAGTATAGATGCAACTATGCTGACAGAAGAGTGCTTTTGTCAGCCTAGCTACTGTTGTTGTGGGAGCTGGTGTAGCTATGCAGGTAGGAAATGTCTTTTTGCCAGTTTATGCTGTGTCTGGACAAGAGGGCTCTGCCGGCATAGCTATACCAGTAAAGGCTGTGTAGTCATGGGTGGCAGATAATGGAGGCCGGGGGAAGCTAAGCCTCCCCAAACCTCCGCTAATGCTCCCTACTGCAGCCCCGGTCCCGGAGGCCTCCAGACTGCTCTGGGAACCAGCAGGCCAGCCGGGGTTCAGGGATGCTCCAGGCGCCGGCCGGGATTCAGGGCTGCACCGGTAGGTCAGCCAGCATGAGCGGGGGGTCGGGAGGGGCGGAGCAGGGCGGGGCCTTGAGCAGAAAAGGCAGGGCAGGGGGCTATCCTCCCTGAATGGGGGGTGCATGAGCTGCCCATGTCTGTAGTGTAGACAAGCCCTAAGTCTAAGAAAGTTCAGAAGAGTCCAAGCCAATAGAACTTGCACCTTTTACCACCCCCCTCCATGTGCATGATACACCAGTTTTGGCTTCCTCTAGAGTCTAGACAACCTCTACCTGATTCTACAGTGCTGTGCGGCTGTTTTGTGCTTCACCACCAATGTAATCTGGCCCTCAAGATAATTTAACCAGCCCCAGGAGGATCAGCTCAATGTAAGGGTAATCCTCAGTGGCGGCATAGAGTCAGCATGTATTTCTTGTCCTCTGGTAAGGCTGTGCATTCCCCTCACATAAATGGAAATTTACCAGGCCCGTTTTCATGGATGACAGACAATACCACCTAATGGAAATTACAGAGAACTACATCCTGTGGCTCTCTCATCTAAAGTTCTCTCTCTGTGGCGTTTGAGTGATGGTGTAACGAGTACGGTGCCTTAAATCATCATGACAGTGTTGAACAAGGTTTATGAATGACTCAGGAAAACTCTTTCTTTCAATATGGTTTCCTGTGACTAGGGTGACCAGATAGCAAATGTGAAAAATCAGGAAAGGGGGTGAGGGTGGAGGGTAATAGGAGCCTATATAAGAAAAAGACCCAAAAATCAGGACTGTCCCTATAAAATCGGGACATCTGGTCACCCTACCTGTGACTCAAACTTTTTCATATGCTTTTTTCACCCCTGAGAAGCTCCACCTCTAGTTTCAGGAGAAATGGACATGGAATGCAGCAACCTCAGGAAAAGAGGGAAGAGCAAAAAAGGGAAGGAGAGAGATATACATACTATTCCATGACCAGAACAATGTCATTTTTGGATTCAAAGGCATCATACAGCTGGATAAGGTTTGTGTGGTTTAACTGGTTCATGACATTGATTTCATTCTTTACTTCTTCCTGTGAAAAGAATAAGGAATATTATACTTGAGGCTTTTATAGCAGACACTAATGAATTGGGGGCATGGGCAAATACATCATTCCCACATGCTCACCTCTGCCCACCAACCCTAGCATTCTTCTTTGATGGCTGTTGTGGCGACAGGAATATTCATACATGTTTAAGGTCAGAAGGGACCATTAGATCATTTGGTCTGACCTCCTGTTTAGCACAGGCCATATATGGTGATGTGACATTGAGAAGCAGTGAGGAGAGAGAGCTCTTGGCCTTGGTGGCAGCGAGGTCGGACTGATGAGGAAAATGGAGAAAGGCAGGCACTAGTAATGACACAGCTGCCACACAATAATGCCTGCTTGATTTTCCTCATTAAATGAAAGTGGGGGAAGTGCCCTGAGGTTTGCAGAATGGCCAGTCAAATCCCTCTCCACTCTTATGCATTGGTGACTGAAGCCCAGAACATCCTTGCTACCAAGTCCAACAAGATGAAAGCAATTAATTGCAGCAGAGTGTGCAGTGCACGCCAGAGAACACATGCAAAGTCAAAAGTTGACAAACATTTTCACTAAGAAAATGTAAAGAAAATTAACAAAGGAGAAAAAAGGGAAGAAGTGAAAAGACGTGAGAAAAAGTTGGAAAAGTGAAAAATAAAAAATAAAAAGATGAAAACTCTGAAAGGAGGTTGATAAGCTGGTTGCAGTCCTGAAGGGGAAAGGAAAAGAATCTACAAACCAGCTATTACCCGACTGGTCATGTGGTATTGATGGCATGGGGGCCATGCAGCCTATGCTTACCTTTTCTTTAGCACCTCTGGCTTTTATAATTTTTGCTGCTAACTTGAGACCTGTTGCTTTTTCTTCACATTTGTGCACCTGACCAAATCGCCCTCTAAGGGGAAAAGAAAAATCCCCTCACCATATGGTGTTAACAACGAGAAAGGAATCCAGCATGGAGTCTGGATTTTAGACACTTCAGATTATTCTCTGTCCAGCATTGGCAAATCCTGATGTACATATCATGCTACATTTGAGTCTTTGGAATGCTATTCTGTCCCACAAATAACACCTATTACCATACATTTAGGTACATCAAAATCACACTCAGTTTTGATTGCTATTACTCGATCCATTATTTGATTCACTAATATTCACTGATTAATGAAAGCCAGTTTATGACCCGCTTAGTCACATGAGTACCCCCAGTGAAGCCAATGGGACTATTTGTGGTGTGAGTAAAAGGGTCACAATCTTGCCCTAACTACACTATAACCAATCCGTTTAATACATTCTTAGTTTTTTTCCTTTTGAAAATTCTCTTAACAAAATGTGAAACATGCTCCTGTTACATCATCTTCAAATACTTCCTCTTACTGGGAGGCAACTTAGATGGGCAGAATAAACTACTGTTCAAGTTCAGCACCTGCTTTCCTAAAAGAATATGGTGAATAGTCACAAACACTGCACTGTCATTATGGTAGGCTGCAGTGATCTGAACCACTGCTGTAGGACACAAAAAATAGCATTTTTTCAGTGTAACTACAAAACAGCAGTCCAGACTATGGAGCCTACTAAGCTGTCATTTGGGCACTATCACAGCTATAATTTTGTTTCCACAAAATGTCATAAAACCAAAATATTTTGCAAAATTTCACAACTGTGTCCCTTCCCTGCCACCTTCTTCCAAGAAAAATGGAATGAGGCTTGGGTCTTGTAGTTCTGGGACTAAAGGAAATAACAGTAATTTTTAAAGCTTCTTACAAACAAGGAGGGAGAGGGCTCAAGAGCCCTACCTGAACTGTCACAGAGGTGCCCAGCCCCTGGTATTGTGGTCTTCTACAGTGTTCTTGCAAGTGGTGGCCTGCCTGGGAATGCCTGGGAGAAAACTCTGTGTTGGAATGCACTATAATTCCCATCTGGCACTGACGCTGCAGCCTCAGGAAATTGTTTACATACCAAATATAAACCGAAGCATGATGCCACCAAGACCTTCTCAAAAACCCACAAAAATAGCAGCCTGCTGATTTTAGTCCATCTCCAATTTACAATTAGACAGCACTTTTGTGAGCTAGGCTTTAGCAAGGCATGCTGCTTCCATTCACCTGTAACATAATCCTCCATTACAAGGCTATTTGCTGTCTTTTCCCGGTGGCTCAGGAAAACTCATTTTTGTGTTGACAGTGTTAGCTCCACTTACCCTCCCAGAACTTCGTTCCGGTTGACTTCATAATAACTGTTGACCACTGCCTTTTTTGCTGAGACAATCCGGTGATCAAACGGCGCTGGAGGAGCAGGACCATCACCTACAAAAGACAAAACAGAGAGCTGGCATGTTAGTACCAACATGCACCATTTATTACTTACATTAAACCCTGTTTCCTAATAAATAAAATGATCTACAGATTTAATGACCAGGTGGCAAGTTTTACTCATGGGGGCGTCTCTTTAGGACTTACGGACAAATCTTATTCCCTGAGCATAGCCTGAGTAAATGTGATGTTTGTAAGGGAGTCATCCAAGGGACAAGAAGAAAATGAGCCCACCCTTACCACTATGGCACAGAGTATTCCATCAGTGAGACTGCAGTTACCAAGGTTTTGGCCAGTGGAACCTTGTAGAATTGCACCCCGTGGCTGTCCTTCCATTCTACCCCAAAGGCATTCTTTTACGAGCCTGCTGACAAGGCCACTGTGGAGACATGCAGTCCACATGTTCCTACAGTGGTTCTGTGGCCTTTGTGGCCTCTGTCCTACACCTGTTCCTGCCTAGGAGAATTTCCTCTTTAGTGAGGCATCATTCATTCTGCTAACGTACTGCCAAATTCTGCACCAACTATATTTGTGCCACCCCACTGAAGACACTCCCCATCCAGGAGGCACCAAGAATTCATGTGTCAGCACACTGGGCGCACAAGTCAGGTGAGGGCACATAGCTGTCCACCATTACTTCATGCCCACAATGGGGCATGACCATGTTTTCTCTCACACACTTACTAGTGCCTAGAGGTTACCAACACGGGAATACCTGCTGCAACTTTTTAAAGGGGTAGTAAGAGCCATTGTTCAGTGTGCTCTCTTCTAGCCCCACCTAGGCGATTTGTCTGCCTCCGCCATACCCAATGCAGAATGCCTCTAGCCTCTATCACTTCAATGGTACAGCTTTTCATTGTCCCTTGCATGGCTATTGTTCTTAAAGGCTTAGGGCTTATCTACATTAGGGAGTTTGCACTGGCATAAGCTACTTAGATGCAAAGCTACCCTGTGGCATCTAGAGGTTCCAACAGTACAGTGGTAGGCACTGTACATACACATTATAAGTTCCTGCCCTGAAGAGTTTACAGTCTAAACAGAGAAGGCAGACAGAAGGCTGAAAGGCGAAAGAGAGGCACAAAGATGAAATCCCTTGCTGTAGGTCATAAACCCAGGTCACCTGAGTTGCATTCTAGTGCTCTATCCACTGCACCATGCAGCCTGACTGATGCAAAAATCCCTATTGTAGACAAGCCCTTAACCCCTAAATTTGTGTTTAGATTTTTGTGGGGTGATAAGTTTTTCATTTTATGCCCACATTGTTTGTCAGTTGATTTATATTCCTCGGAATGACCTTTGGCTGACCAAGGTGACAAACATTTCTACCAAGGGAAAGAAGGGCTAGAATGGTGATGTTTCTATATGATCTCTTTGGTTTGGAATGCTGCATGTGGAACTTTTTGAGCAATTTTAAAACCATTCATTACTTCAGTGAAAATGATAAAAAAGAAATCCCATGACAGCATATAGTTGGCAGGAATCCTCTGGTCATTAATGTAAGACTGGATTGTCCTTATTCACAGGGCATGTCCATTTTTCCAGGACAACAGCTGCGTACCCAGATTTTTTTAATGTGTTAATAACTTACATGGCCAGTGAGTTAGTTCATGGTCAAGGCATTGCAGAAAGCCAGGGCTCCTGGAATTTTGCCACCTACTTTGGATTCTGCAGGGGTTGAATTGCAGACTTTAAACAGGGGCCTTTGCATGTTACTGAGGCCTATAACATGCAAAGAAGTTCTCTTCCTCTTAAGCAAGGATTTGACCCTGAAGAGCTGCAAACTTCCAGTGTATAATTTATAACAACACAAGAAAACAGGTTTCCAAGAGAGACTGAAAGACTTACCAAAAATTACCATTTCTGGGCTAAAAAATGTTAACTTCGTAAGTGTTAAGGCCTGAAAGGACCAGTGCGAGCCTCTAGTCTGACCTGCGGTATCAACTGCTTTCAGCCAGATTTTCCCAAGATACTTTATACTTTCCAACTCTCAGAACAGAATATTCTAAAAACAAAGGTCAGATCAGATCCTCAGCTGATAAAAAAATTAACATAACTCTCCTGAAGTAAATGGAGTGACACTGATTTGCGTCAACTAGGGCTCTGGCCGCTATGAACAAATGGTTTTGCTCATAGTTACGATACATATGCCTTTTTTTTTTAAGCAAAAGCTATTTCCTACCAATTACAGTCACCAAATCTTCTATAGATGCCTCTGCTTGATTATCACTCTCTGTACCAGTGGAATCAGCTGCCTTTGGTTTGTCTTGTGGAGTATTTGGTTTAATGGCCTCTTTACGTTTACATTTGTCACCAGCACTCTCTGCGTCTACCCTGCTCTTTTTGTTGTCAGCTTTGATTAGACCTTCATCATTCACTCGACGCTTACTGCTGCCTCTATGCTCAAGCTGGCAGGTCTGCTCAGGGTTCTGGGAGAACGTCTCTGATGGTTTGCTTCCTGTGCCTTTTTCACTGCCTTTACACCTGCAAGACAAAGCATTGCATTACACTGGTATAAACTTAAAGCAGAATGAACGCAGAACTAAAGGTGAGAAATTCCAGGGGCAGGCTGCATTTAAATAACATTTATTTATTTTTGCTTTATTGTGTAAAGTAATAATGGTAACTAACTAGGGTAAGCTTCCTTTTGTAGAATAAAATAAACCTGACAGCAGCAAAGTTCCTATTTCTGAAACAACAGCCTGAATTCTGCTGATTTCATCTTTGACTATCAACCACATCTTTAAAGTAGTGGGAGAACTCTCTTTGTTTATAAAGATCCTTGAGAGCTTGAACCACTTATCTCTGAAGGTCTATAAATAATGCAGCACAGAAGAATCAGAGTAAACAAGCTTAACAATTTAGTTCCCTGGGCAAGTGTCACAGTTTTATGTTACCACTTGTATTATCAGATATTGCAGTGCAATTCCAAACTAGTACACTCTCTATTCTAACCTTACTTTGGTCACAAGTTACAAGGTGTGGAACATAAACATGACAGAAGGGGAGGATGCTTCTTAGAGATGAAGAACTGTTGAATATCCAGCTGCCCTTTCTTTGTTCCAGACCTTCTTTCTGAGCAAATGGCAAACACATAAGACAGTACTGGTTTTGCCATGTGTGGCAGGTTGTCCTGGAGACAGAGCCAGTCTGTTAAACCCACTTTCGTTTGGATATTGGGCTGGATTTATGACATAGCTCCCAAATAAATATTGCTAATATACTTACTTGATTTAATGCTTGAAATAAATGGCTTTCTGGAATATGGGTCTTTAAGAATAGGCTAATGTACACTTTGGGTTTTAAATCTTACCTTTGAAGCCGTGCATCTTGTCCCTGGCTTTCTGCTGGACCCTCATCATCCTCTATCTCATGTTCATTTTGGGATGCAGTTGCTGATTCTTCCTCCTCTTCTTCACAGTGACCAGCATCATCCTCTTCTTCTTCCTCCTCTTGCCTTTCTTCTTCAGGCACTTGCTGTCCACCAGCCCTCTTCACACCTTCCAGGGATTCACTTTCCTTCTCTTCATCTTGCCCTGTTATCCTTTGGTTAATGTCATCAACAGCAACCTCTGCTCCTTGGCTCTTTCTTCTACTGAAGGATGTTTGAACATAGCTCTTTGTGTGTTCCTTCTGCCTTTTCAAAGCTAAATCCTCTCCCTTGTTCTTTGGCCCTTGAGATTTGGGAGAACTCCTTTGAACCAAAAAAGCACTTGCCTTTTCAGTATTTTCCTTATTGAGCATATGGACCGTTTCTTTGTGAGGGCAGGACTGGTTTTCTTGGTTGGCTCCCTCTGGAAACAATCAGAGAATACCAAGCATATTAACTAAGGACTTACGTAATTACCATGATTTCCATTACTTACTGAGTAGGCACCTGCTTTTCTCCTCCACTTTCCAAGGTCAATAGAAATGTTTTCTAAGCAATAGTAATGCTCATGAGCTTTCAAGCAAAGTATAATTTTTTTTAAAACCCATTATATAAAGCACCTACAGATTCTTGGCCTTCAGATGTAGCCCTTTCAGATAGTTTTCTTACTTAAACTCATGGTGAACTAAGTCTAGTTTAATAAAATATTCAAGCAAAAGCACCTTCTTGGAAAGTTTATGACCATGTACAAAGGCAAGGCAACACATAATGCACTGACGGTAATAGAGTAAATGACCCTTCAATGTCTAGGTGCTGATTGGGCAACCCTTACTCATGTCACTCTTACTTACTTGTTCACAAGATTAGCCCCAATTATTTCAGCCAGACTACTCATATGAGTAAGGAAGGGTTCCAAAACTGGGCCCTTAGACATCATGCAGAGTGAAAGCTCTAACCTGTGGAATCGGGTGGTTTCTTCTTTTTTATAAACTTTGTTCCCTTCACACTTAAACATGACTTCTCCTTTTCTTTCTGATCCCTGATGGCCTGTAGGAATGCAAGCAATACATTAGTCGCTGTGCACAGCATTCACATTGCACTGTTATTTGCAAAACTGCATTCTCTCTTTTGAACAAAACCAAACATTTTGCACTAATTGATTCAAAATCCATCTTTAAGTGTTATTGACAATATGCATGATGTATTCAGTTTTAGGTGCCATCGACCTGATTCTGTCTGTACCAATGTAAATCAGGAGTAACTCCCTGGGTTGAAATCAATGGAGTTACACTAATGTAAAACTAGCATAGAAAAAAAATCAGAATCAAGCCTCATGAGCTGACAAATAATCCACAAGAAAAATAACTTACCAGCTTTTAAAAATTAGGTTGGTTAGTCGAAAACAAAGTTAATATTTATTGTGCTGGTAAAATATTCAGTAATAGCCTTACTGATAGATTTTAAATAGATTTGTGCTGTTAAACAACATCTGGTAACTTCTGTAGATGAGAGAGACAAGCTTTCAAGCCACACAGAGCTCTTCTTCAGGTCTTCTTCAGCAGACCCGAAGAAGAGCTCTGTGTGGCTCGAAAGCTTGTCTCTTTCACCAACAGAAGTTGGTCCAATAAAATATATTACCACACCCACCTTGTCTCGCTAGTATCCTCAGACTAACATGGCTATAACTACACTGCATACAACATCTGGTAACAGCATTTTTAATAATTTATTGCAAGCTGATAAAACAGTTACCAGGAATCAAAGGATATAAAACCATAATCTTAGCTTTGTAGCCTACATTAGGTCTATATTCTACAATGTTATACTGACATCTAGAGGACGTTTGTACTGAACAGACTTCCCATAAAACAGAAGTATTATTGTTACATTTATAGCTATGTAATTATATATCTATGGAATTTGTTCATTGTCTTTTTCTTTAAATATTCGTAATGTACTAGTAAAATGGTAACATCACAATCAGTGACATAAATGATTCATCAATATTCCATTTTCCTCTAGCTCCCTCCTAACCTCTTCATAGTAAAAATGAAACATATATATTGTTAATAATAGAAATGGGTCCAAAAGGGTGTAAACAATTAGATACTTCCAAGTAACTTTCAGAAGAATTTCTTCCAGATTAGGGTGTTACTCTGACTCTCTCTTTGAATCACCCACTAAAATTGCTTGATACCTATTTCTGCTGAGTATACTGGACCAGGCACCTAAACTTGCTTGCTTTATTCATGCAAGTAATCCTACTGTTTACTCGTGGGAATAAAATGAGCACGACTTGATGCCAGAACTATATACACTCCCTGGTAGCGTCTTTAAAGGATTTTTTTAATATACAAAACTAAATAGAACTATACAGATAACAGGAACCAAATGAAAACTACAAGTACTCTCTAAAGCTACTGTATCCAAAGCATACTGAACTCGACAGGAAACAAAGAAAAATTAAAAAAAAAAAAAAAGAAATTGTATGAAAGGAGTTGGAAATGGTGAGATACGCAGTTTGCCTCTACAGCTAGCCTGGCTATTACAAAAAATTCCTATCCAAAACAGACAGGGAATCTGTGCTGTAAGAACTGTGACTGACAACTGTTTTGAATACAGTTGTTCCTAGCAGGATTCAAGCTATAACATGAAGAGGGCTTAAATATGAGCACATAACTCCCCTCAAAAAACAAGCTGGAGCCTTGTCAACTAAGATGCTCAATGAACCTAAATCTAAGAATGCTCCATGAATCTAAATTCTGAACTGATCATAAAGAATGGGTCATTGTTGCTTTGGTTTTCTGCTCTGCAGTGAAAAGTGCTAAAAGAGGTAGGGCAAAACCTTAGACCAAGAAGTTAATGCAATTACTAATGCACTCTGATTCCTGTAAGTATGCCCTCCTGGCAATGTTGATGAGGACACTGATTATAATCAAATATAGTCAGCTGAGCAAATAACCATGCAAGTGGACTCCAAGGACTTTTTATACATGGAGCCAAATTTCATTTCTGCATCCAAAAATAATTGCAGGTATACAGTGCTTTCTCACTAAATATTTTTGCAGTCTGCAGGTGTGAAAAATGGAAGGCAGCTTTTGAAAATCTGCCTGGTAGAGATTTGGATGATGCCGAGTATCTGCAACTGCTTGACAGCTCCATAAATCACTACAGGATTTATTCAAACATAGTTTTTGAACGCCTATAGTTTAGCAGGGGTTGAGGCGCTCATGCTTATTTAAGTGAAAAAACTAATCCAGCTGGTACAAAATGAAATGGGTTGAAGCATTTACTTGCATCCTTCAGACTCAGTAAGTATCGGTTGTTTATGACCAATAAGTGGCACATGGTAAGGCCACTAGGATGAAGTACAATTAATGCCAAGACTGAAAGTATGACAGAGAGTACCCATAGTATATACGGGAACTTAAGCTGTACACTTGAGGTTTTTGCCATTACAGGTAAATTGTGCCTCTTGTTTGACTTGTCAAATCTTAGCTTAGGGGTAAAAATATGAACTTTCAGTCATCACTTTTTCTCAAAGGGCCAGATTGTGCCTGGCTCCTGTAGAGCTGGCTGGGACCAGGGGGAGTAGACGGAGTGTCCTTCAAAAAGGGTGGACCAGTTAGGGTGTCCAGTTGTCCAGTTTTTGACTGGAAAGTCTGGTTGAAAAGGGGACCTGACAGTGTCTGGTCAGATCTACTGACTGGACACCCAAAGTCTGGTTACTGCAACCAGGGGAGACAGGGAGGCGCCAAGTCGTCACCCGGGCCAGCCCCTACTCAGCCAGGGCCAGCTCAAACTAGCTACAGGAATAAAGGGAAACAAGAAAACTTTTTATCAATACATTAGAAGCAAGAGGAAGACCAAGGACAGGGTAGGCCCACTGCGCAGTGAGGAGGGAGAAACAGTAACAGGAAACTTGGAAATGGCAGAGATGCTTAATGACTTCTTTGTTTTGGTCTTCACACAGAAGTCTGAAGGAATGCCTAACATAGTGAATGCTAATGGGAAGCGAGTAAGTTTAGAAGATAAAATAAAAAAAGAACAAGTTCAAAATCACTTAGAAAAGTTAGATGCCTGCAAGTCACCAGGGCCTGATGAAATGCATCCTAGAATAATCAAGGAGCTAATAGAGGAGGTATCTGAGCCTCTAGCTATTATCTTTGGAAAATCATAGGAGACGGGAGAGATTCCAGAAGACTGGAAAAGGGCAAATATAGTGCCCATCAATAAAAAGGGAAATAAAAACAACCCAGGAAACTACAGACCAGTTAGTTTAACTTCTCTGCCAGGGAAGATAATGGAACAAGTAATTAAGGAAATCATCTGCAAACACTTGGAAGGTGGTAAGGTGACAGGGAATAGCCAGCATGGATTTGTAAAGAACAAATCATGTCAAACCAATCTGATAGCTTTCTTTGATAGGATAATGAGTCTTGTGGATAAGGGAGAAGTGGTGGATGTGGTATACCTAGACTTTAGTAAGGCATTGATATGGTCTCGCATGATATTCTTATCAATAAACTAGGCAAATACAACTTAGATGGGGCTACTATAAAGTGGATGCATAACTGGCTGGATAACTGTACTCAGAGAGTAGTTATTAATGGTTCCCAATCCTGCTGGAAAGGTATAACAAGTGGGGTTCCGCAGGGGTCTGTTTTGGGACTAGCTCTGTTCAATATCTTCATCAATGACTTAGATATTGGCATAGAAAGTATGCTTATTAAGTTTGCAGATGATACCAAACTGGGAGGGACTGCAACTGCTTTGGAGGATAGGGTCATAATTCAAAATGATCTGGACAAATTGGAGAAATGGTCTGAGGTAAACAGGATGAAGTTTAACAAAGACAAATGCAAAGTGCTCCACTTAGGAAGGAACAACCAGTTTCACACATACAGAATGGGAAGAGACTGTCTAGGAAGGAGTACGGCAGAAAGGGATCTAGGGGTTATAGTGGACCACAAGCTAAATATGAGTCAACAGTGTGATGCTGTTGCAAAAAAAGCAAACATGATTCTGGGATGCATTAACAGGTGTGTTGTGAGCAAGACACGAGACGTCATTCTTCCACTCTACTCTGCGCTGGTTAGGCCTCAACTGGAGTATTGTGTCCAGTTCTGGGCACCGCATTTCAAGAAAGATGTGGAGAAATTGGAGAGGGTCCAGAGAAGAGCAACAAGAATGATTAAAGGTCTTGAGAACATGACCTATGAAGGAAGGCTGAAAGAATTGGGTTTGTTTAGTTTGGAAAAGAGAAGACAGAGGGGACATGATAGCAGTTTTCAGGTATCTAAAAGGGTGTCATAAGGAGGAGGGAGAAAACTTGTTCACCTTAGCCTCTCAGGATAGAACAAGAAGCAATGGGCTTAAACTGCAACAAGGGAGGTTTAGGTTGGACATTAGGAAAAAGTTCCTAACTGTCAGGGTGGTTAAACACTGGAATAGATTGCCTAGGGAGGTTGTGGAATCTCCATCTCTGGAGATATTTAAGAGTAGGTTAGATAAATGTCTATCAGGGATGGTCTAGACAGTATTTGGTCCTGCCATGGGGGCAGGGGACTGGACTCAATGACCTCTCGAGGTCCCTTCCAGTCCTAGAATCTATGAATCTAAGCTCCTACCTGCATCAGGCGGCTGCAGCTCCCAATCCTGGCTCTGCAGGCAAGGGTGGGAGAGGCGAAAAGCAGTGAGTGACAGAGGAAAGGGGAAAGAGGAGCAAATGGGGGGCAGGGCCTCAGGGGCAAGGGGCAGGGCAGGGGCAGGGCCTTGGGGAAAGAGGTAGGGGTGGGGCCTCAGGGGTAAGAGGCGGGGCAGGGGAGGCTCCAGCAGGTGTGCTCAGTTTTTAAATATTACAAAGTTGGCAGCCCTAGGACTAGTGGCTGTATTCTGTGGGATCTGCAGGAGGCCCTGCACTTTTCTGAGGCACAAGTTCCTATTGGGAGTATGACTCCTCTGCACCCCAAGGCAGAGCAATGCCTTAACACTGGGATTTTCAAAGGAGAGGAAATTAGCCGACCAATTCTCTTTGAATTGCAATA